TGGAGGAGTTGGGTTGGAGGGGAGGGGATGGGGCAGTGCAGGAGGAGGAGGAGGAGGAGGAGGAGTAGAGGGGGGAGGTTTGGTTATGTATCGACGTTGCGTAGGTTGGGCCAGTAGAGAACAGCTCTCCTCCAGCAGCAGCAGCACCAGAATTAAAGTGTCGTCGGGACCGGGGTGACGCGTAAGAGATAGAGGAGGATTAATTGGGGTTGGGGGGTGGATCTCTAATCCCCATCACTCTGCTGCCAGACACGCATCCACAGGCTACATCCAGTAGGTATGGATTGTATGTATTGTATGTATTGTATGTACCTGCCTCTCCCCTCCCGGCCTGTGGCTGCTGATGTGATGCGCTGCGGGGATAGTCAGTCACAGCAGGGACAGTACATAGGCCTTCTCTCTCCCTCTCTCCACTGTAGGCGCCGCATCCATCCACGATCCATCCACGCACGCACGCTCGGACGTTGAGCCGTATGCACACCCACACACACGAGTACTCTAGCCTACATATATATACATAGACACATGTGCCTACCCGCACCTTAAGTAGCGAGTGCACCTACAGGATCTCTTGCTATTCCTGCAGTGGCTGTGTATTCTTGGGTCGTCGAACGTCGTCAGCAGCAGCAGCGGTCGGGGTTAAGACGTGATTGCGTGGATGCGTTGGTTGTGTTGCAGCGCCCTTCCCTTCCTTCCCTTCCTTCCTTTGTTTCTTCTTCTTGTCGGGAGAGGGAGTGGGGAGAGGGCTGCTGCTGTGCCGCGCGGCAGTCTGGTGTGGTGGTAGTGCCGACGGGGCGATTCGATTGGCTGGGCTGCATTGGGAACTTCATGGAATGTCACTCGGCTACATCGAAGCTATGGTAAGGGTAAGGGTAGTACATACATACATACATGTAAGTACATGTTGCTAGCTGATGGGCCCCCCTTCGATTTTATTGCCGGAGAGGTCAGTCCATGGCCGGCCAGACCACGTACAACATGGATGGAAAGTGTAGATAGAATCCATCTTCTTTATTTCCTTCTGTGTGGCTGGTGAGGAGAGGAGGAGAGGAGGGGAGGAGGGGGGGGGTGTATTATTGGCGAGTGGGAGGGATGGTGTGGCAGTGGGATGGATGGTGTGGCAGTGGGATGGCGGGATGGAACGGAATGTTACCACCAAGCCTAGAACCCAAGTCTCATCGTCATCGTCATCGCCGTCGTCGTCATCATACTGGCAGCCAAATCCCTCCCCCCACGCCGCCGTAGGTCTTGTTTTATAAAGCCCCACCCGTCCCCAGAGAGAGCCAACGGGGCACATGCCTCGACTCTAGCTTTAAATAGGGTGGGTGGTGGCGGGGGATTAGGTGCCTGCCAAGTGAGCAGTAACCAAAGCCAGGTAGCTTCTCTGCTCCAACGAAAGGGAGTTCCTTTTTCTTCTCTGGAGGTATGTCGCCCCGCACCGTCGCCACTTGGAAACATGCTCGTCCGCAGCTGCCAAACCAATACTTGGTCTCCGGAAATCCAGCAGAGGAACCGCCCGCCCGTCGTCTACAGCACACCGAGTGATACACTGTGAAGACCTTCCCTCCAACAGCCTACGTACGTACACAAGCTAGGTAGGTATACAGGTCTAACTGCCCCCCTACGTACTGAGTCTTGGAATGTGGGCAGGCTTCTGGTTTGGAGGCTCTGAGTAAGTCTGGCTGACACCGAACAACGGGGTGGATCGGAATGGACACCCACATGAGCTACACACATGTAGTCGGACACGAGCCAGCCTATCGCCGCTTGGCCACCGCCTTACGCGTGCAGATCATGGTGGGTACATGTATGTGTGAATAGCGCTCATACCGCCACACACACACAGCAGGTCAGAATGGATCAAGTAGAGTACATACATCTCTACATGTAGCCACTATCCCCTCCACCCAGCCCTTCCTACTCACCCCGGATGTACCGCCCAAGAGTATACCGCGTACATACATGCTGGGCAGGGCAGAGAAGGGTAATATAGTCGGACCCCCCCCCCCCTATGGAAAAGTGCAGGTACATGTATCTAGGCCCATAACGGGTCAAAATACGAGTATCCCCACTACACATGTAGGGGCTGGGCTTATGGCTTGTATAAATAAGGTTGTGGCTAGATCTAGATCTATACATATATACCAAATCGAACCTCGGTATATATATATAGCGAAGCCTTCTCCTCTTCTCGCCCGTTGCTTTTTTTATTTTTATTTTTATATACATACATGCCCCCCCCCAAAAGTGCCCGGGAAGAGGCAGCGGCGGGCTGTCCAGGTGGGCTCGGTTTCAATTAAGCTTAATTGAGCTGTGCAGGGGGGTGTTGGTTCCCGCCTATGTGCATGTACTTTTTGTTCGCGCGAGGAGATTGCCGCCAGGGTTTCCTGGGTTGGGGTGGGTTCGTAAGTGCATGTATGTGCATATGTGCTGTTATATGTGTAGGATAGTACAGAGTTCTTTTCCGGGGTCGGGTTCATTCGAAACCGTTGGGGGAGGGGTATGCATATAATGTATGTCTACATGTAGGTCATGGATACATGTATATATACATCTATTCCCCCAGGTTTCTTTCTCCTTGGTGTCTGTGGGTGCGTATACTTACACCTCCACCCCCTTCATCCTCTGCTGTATAGTACGTTGCCCCCTCTCTAGACCATTTTTCTTTCTTCACCTTTACCTGCTGGTCTCCTCCGGAGATGGCAGTTGTAGAGGGCTTTTGGATATCCTTCGGAATTGGGGTGGGGGTTCATAACCGCCAGTAGATGTTAGCTAGAAGGATGGGATGGGGATGCCAGGCCGTTTACCTTTTGTCTTAATCCTACCTTCTTCTTCCTCACACGTTGCGTACCACCCCCCCCCCCACCCCTTCGGGTCGGTTTTATTTACCTGTTTTTATTTCTCCTCGCAGGGTTGGATCCCGGGGGCTATCTTGGGTAGATGCAATTACTTCCCACCACCACCGCCGCCCCCATAGAAAGAAAAGAGAAAAAAGGATTATCTCTTTGACGCGGGAGATGGAGATGGAGGAGGATTCTAGCTCTGTCTAGCTCTATCTACATGTAGCTACATGTAGTTGCCCTCCCCTTTTCTGGTGTCTGTCCGACCCGCAGGGTGCGTCACCCGAGTGAGATTTCGTGTCTAAGCGGATCTACAAAGCGGTCTCGGCTGTACTGTAGTAGAAGATTGACTATGTAGCTACAAGAGTAGCTGATAGAATAACTGAAGCACCAGATATATAGGGTGGCCCTGGGACCGGATTGGATGTGGGAAAGTTGACTCCCCCGTTGTTAGAAAGTAGTTTGTGTCTTGAGTAGAGGCTGCTTGATGGCCAACTAGATGGCTGGTTGACAGACTATAGGTACGTGCATGCGATTAAGATTTATGGGTTATGGGCTTGGGGCTGGGCAGTTACCCAGCTAACGCACTTTCCTTCTCACCCACCCGCCAACGACATACATCCCTCACCAGCTCCAACCAACACATCCCAAGCACTTCATCTCCCCATCCGAGGCAAGCTGGGATGATTTCTATCCACTTCATCTTCCCTCCCCTCTGTCACGCACAGTATTATCTATCGTTGGAATATTTCTCCCCTTGCCCCCAGCTCGATTCCGCGATAAGGAGCACCTACACCTCTTTGAGTGGGAGTTTTCACCCCCCCCCCCCCCCCGCACTCCTCCCATCAGCAAACTACCGAGATAAAGCGCATGCCCGCTAGCCGCTGGTGGGTAAAAACTAACCTCAACCTTCAAGAGAGAGATATCAATATGGACTTGAGCTCCATGCCGGATAGCGGAAGCGAGTGAGATATCGTGTCGCGGCCAACCCGCGGCAATAGTACTAGGGGTTCAGCATGGTAGACTACATATATCATTAACAGCAGGAAGGAATCACGAGAACATACGGCCAGCCCGGTAAAGCAACTGTTTGCTTGGTCTCTTTCCGGGCGAGGCCCAGTGATGTGCACTCGTCCAACTCACGGAGATATACCACTGGCTATTATGACTCCTGCAAAGGTTTTAAGTATCCGCCACATGGTGGGGTAATAATATCCTTTGCGCTGAAGCCACCGCACTTGCTGAAGCCACCGCACTTGATGATTATCGGTGGAAGAAAAAAAGATTATATATGGTCTTTTGTTTTACCACTGTCGAGAATTCCCGCTAAATATAACGCGGTGGATTGGACCTTGTTCACTCACCCGGATCAGGACTGGGACGCATATAATAAAGAGTACTCTGGAATTTGGGGACTTGTTTGGACCTCTAATAGACAGGTATAAAAATAGTATTAAACACGACTCGCAAAGAACGCATTAGTCTCGAACCTATCTATCGAGGCCCATAAGCAAAAGGTAGAATCATAAGAGGCCAAGGCTGCATGTAAACAATGCGAGATACTGGCTGATCAATAAACGCAGCAAATCGCCGATTAATCGCTATTTTTATTAAGTCGACTTGATATAAAGTAAGGCATAGAAACAACCGAATAATTTAGTGGGAGGGAGACAGCTTCATACCTTTGGAGACCATCCCGTATATACAAGAGACCAACGGAGCAAAATTCTTGGGGCGAGTGATCGCGGGTGAATAGAATGATCCCCGCCGCGCTCCATCAAACTCTACAGCCAATATATGGTCGTCACCACTACTTATTATTGTCATCTGGCTGATCAATGTCTTTTCGACAAACGCCTAGTTCAATAATTGGAAAAGGGACCCTACATACCGATATAAAAGTATTCAAGGCCTAACCGGTGAGTTAAGGGGAGTATATCCCTGGCAAAAGAAATTGCGGGTATAATTCACAGAATTTTCAGAGCACGAAAATACAATTCTATTGGATACTTGTGTAACGCCCAGTATCTAATACTCAGGCCTGAGATTGGTTCGTGCCTCGGTAAAAAAAAAAAAAAAAGGGGGCCTTGGCAGGAACCAGGATATGAGACACAATAACAAAGTGTTTATTATGTTGTTGACCAAGCGTTGACACGTCAAGCTCTTGTGGCCAAGGGGTAAGGCGTCGCACTTGTAATGCGAAGATCTGGAGTTCAAATCTCTACTGGAGCATTTTTTTTTTTGAAATTTTACCACCAGCGTTACTCAGCCTTGTGGTGACTACCATTCTGGGGATAACAAAAAATCAAGCCCATGCATTCAACAACTATACTCATATTGTTTAACACAATATTTTACAACATTACTCACGAGCCCATGCTTAGTTGACTTCATTATTACCTGCGGATCATTGGCACGGAATATTTTATCGAGTGAAGGTTTATCCATAAGACATCACTCGCTCGATCGATCTCCCACGCACCTTTCTCAACGCCTTTAATCTTTAGCAGTATGACGAGTATCAATTTGACTCTGCTTTCTAAAGCCTGATCGCAGCAGGTTGTTACACCACATTTGAGGGAAGGTCTCGTCCATGTCGGGAGGTTTCCCGCGGAGCAATTCAAAATCCAAGGACATCCAAGTAAAAACCAAAGCTTGTTATCCTCCTTCCGCCTATCGGAGGTACTGGCTTGATTAGGTAGGTCGTTGATATTGATTGACCATCAACCGGGGTGTAGATATATTGCAACTGCATTCGCATTTCCCCGCGCGGTGTGCTGTGGATATAATTAGCGTGCCTGGGGTCCCGGATATCGATGAAGTATGTTCATACGTATTTGTTCGCTAACGATCTGGGGGCCAGGGTGCTCTGCGCGCGCAGAGGTAATAATGTGGGTAGCCAAGTGGTGTGTTCCCCGAAAAGATTGACTGCGCGATGCCCTAAATCCTCCGGTTAATATGTACATGCAATTGTGCCAGTGCCGTAGTATAGGGTGCGAGGGGCTGCATATGCTCAATGGGTTTCCGCAAAGCCTAAATCATAGATATGACGAAATGCTTCGAGGTCGAGGGAAATTGAGAATTGAAGTCGCACTATAAAACTGTGTTAAGAATATAGGTATACCGGTACTTGATAGCCCAATTTGATATCCATAGAGCTGTAATTGACATTTGCGACACATCAATTGATGTGTTTGTCAGTGATGCTTCATCATCTCATTCATGTGCGAGAAAGTATATTGCTACTGCTGGCTATAAAATAGGCTGTAGATATCAATCCCAGAATGGTCACTTAAATGAATAAAGGTAGGGCACAGTAAACTTAATACCTCCTTAGATAGGCAATGCTGGGAGATACCGCATTGAAACCCCATCTCACAAGCCATGGACGTAATTACTAAGAAAGACTGTGTATCTGAAGGGTGCTTGCATACATGTAGTATTAGCGCGCCCGCACCATTATCTAACCACGCATAACCTTCTCTGAGGGTATAGACAGTCTCGCAATTCTTGTTCCGAAATTCCGGGCTCGAGAGTTTGGTGAATGATGGTTTCATCCGAGGAGGTTGGAGCTCATAGGTTATCACTCGATATATTGTCTGGCCCATTGATAAACCGCAAACACATCAAGTTATCGCATCTCACCATGGTTGCTTATTTTCTTATCGATCTTCATTTTAATCTTCCCTTCAGAAGTATATACACATTAGTATGTTGCAGCCAGGTGCGAGGTTCAGTCCAAATTTCCTGTAATGGCTATTATTTTCGCAAGCAATGCGGGTATCCATATCTACATCTTCCGCGTAAGACAGCCAACCCGGAATATCACATTTGCGTTATACAGGATGAAGAGGCTTTCGTCTCAAGTTGCTTTTTCTGTTTTCACTTTTGTTGTTCCTGATAGTTAGAGTGGATGCATAATATCTTCGTCTTAAACTGGGAGTTAGATCCTGTAATCAAACCATATATGTTTCTCCTCCCGGTTATTGATCGAACCGATGACCTCCCCGAGCAAGACATGAACATGTTCATAGATATTATCTTTAAGCCAGATCTACCACGGCATGTTGTATTACACCTTTAGCATATATCATCACCTCAACTGGACAGACGAAATATATTCTTAAGGAAAGAAAGTATACAAATGGGGAGTTAGCTACACGCAGTACTACTTGTATATTCTCTTAAGACAAGATCAAACGCTTACAGATGACATGTAAGTTGATACATGCCTTGAAGTATATATACGATCATTACCCCGGGGATCACAAACAAGCTGAAGATTAGTAGTAATAAGGGTAAGATCACCACCCGACAGAAGGTTTAGGCGATTAGTACCAGATTTTAGTAACGTACATAGCCTAATTTTGATATTGTTACCTGACGACCTTTTACTTAAAGCCTTAGTAGTTGTATATAATTACATGTACTTGCGCGTTATTTGAGTCCTGAGAAATTTCTCGAGGTCGTTGCTACCAAGAATTCTCTGAACTTAATTGATGCGTGTGTCTCTGATAAAGTAAATAATTAATTGATAGCTATAGTTGTCACTTGTTTAGAACGTAAACCCTTAGAGCTCCTTTTATTTTGAGCTTGATAGTCTCGGGGTTAACTAGTAACTGTTTCGTGTGATCATTGATAATTACGGGCATAGAACCATAGCGAGAAAGTATCACAAAAGAGTTTTCGCTGACAAGTATTTATTAACTATCACTAAAAGAATGTATCGTATAACTGCATAAGCCATATATATCCACATAACCCATTCCGTGCCCCCAAACCTAAATGAATGATCCCATAAGCCTAAATGAATGATCCCATATCCCAAAGCTCAATAGTAGTCATAATTATATAAAAAAAGGATTGACATGACAATAAAATATAAAAAAGGAAACGATAACTACATTAAAACGATTAAGCAAGAGCGATCAGACCAGCAATGACAGCAACGAAGCTAATCATGCTGGGCCTATTAATACCGGCAGCGCCAGTAGAAAGGGGTGGTGCAGTACTAGATATAGTTGTTAGCGTTATTGGTGTCAATGAAAATTTGTCAAAAAGATAGTGAACTCACATAGAAGGAGTAGTAGCTGGAGCAGTAGGAACAGTCACATTGGTTGAAGGGGTAGGGACTGTTACTACAGTACTCGGCACCGGCGGGACATCAACTGTGACGCTGGTAGACACTGCTGGAGGAACAATCACCGTAAAACTACTAGTCACAACAGTGGGCACAGTGTAAGTTGGCGGCGCCGGGGTGTTTGTGACACAAGTTGTGGTGGTATAGTAGCTCGTCTCCGGAGCACAAGCAGCACACGGCTTAGTCACGATATAAGTTGTTGTCGTGAAAGTGCTAATGTCAGTTGTATGTGTGTATGGAGGAGGGACCCAGATTGTAGTGGTGAGTGCCGGAGGAGCTGTGGGTGGGCATGAGACTGAGGTGATGGTGTTGGTAAGCGTCTTCGTGATTGATGTGACAGTGGTGTAGGTGCTGCTTCCGGTGGTGTACGTCTTAGTGACCGGAATGCATGTCGTGAGTGTCGAAATGGTAGTGTAGGTGATAGTCGTCTTTGAAGTGACGGGAGTTGAGGTAGTACATGGAGTAGAAGTTGGTGGGGGGGGAATAGTTGTCGAACTGGTAGTACAAGGGGTTGACGTCGGGGGTGTGGGAGGGTGCGAATGAGTGGTGGTGTTCCATGTCGGAGGAGGCGGGTGAGAATATGTGGACGGCGGCGGCGGCGGAAGACCCGTAGAACTCGTCTTCCATGAGGTTGACGATGGAGGTGGTGGAGGAGGCTTCGTAGTCAAGCTAGTGGTACACGGAGTTGACGATGGAGGAGGTGGTGGAGGATGCGAGTGAGATGTTGTGTTCCACGTTGGAGGAGGCGGGTGAGAATATGTGGACGGCGGCGGCGGCGGTGTAGTAGTTGTGGAGCTTGTCGTACATGAAGTAGAAGTCGGGGGCGGCGGAGGTGCTGTATAGATTGAAGTAGATGACGAAGAAGACGAGGAAGACGTAGTCGACGTTGTGCACGACGTCGAAGTCGAGGACGGTGGAGGTGTGGTACTAGTAGTGCTGGTAGTGCATGAGGTTGAGGTTGTGTGAGGAGGAGGAGGAGGATGAGAGTACGAAGACGAAGAACTCAGTGAAGAGCTCGACCACGAACTCGGGGGTGGTGGAGGTGGTGTATAGCTAGAAGTTGACGTAGTGCAGGAGGTTGAAGTCGACGAAGATGGGGGAGGAGGAGGGTGGGAGTATGAAGACGAAGAACTCAGTGAAGAGCTCGACCACGAACTTGGGGGTGGTGGAGGTGGTGTATAGCTCGAAGTTGACGTAGTGCAGGAGGTTGAAGTCGACGAGGATGGAGGTGGTGGTGGGGGCGTGTAGATCGAACTGGAGGACGACGATGAGGACGGAGGTGGTGGGGGTGGTGTATAGATTGAAGTTGACGTAGTGCAAGAGGTTGAAGTCGACGAAGACGGAGGAGGTGGTGGGGACGTGTAAACCGAAGTAGAGGAGGACCAGGAGGACGGGGGTGGAGGAGGAGGCGTGTAAATTGAAGACGACGACGGAGGATAATAGCTCGAGCTCGTAGAAGTGGTACACGAAGTTGAAGTCGAAGATGGCGGATAATAAGTAGAGCTGGTAGTAGTTGTGCAGGGAGTCGAAGTGCTAATTTCATAATCTGGGGTTGAATAATGTTCATGGTCCCAATCCCCACCTCCACCACCTCCACCACCTCCACTTCCGCCGTGATCTCCTGCAATCGCCCCAACTGCTGCGAGGGCGAGCAAACTGATAATGCGAACTGAGTTAACCATTTTTGTTTGGTTCAATATATCCTTCCGTTCTCAATTGAAATTGGAGCAAATGCTTTTCTTCCTCGACTCGACTAACGATGCAAGTCGAACTAAGTAAATAGCGAGAGAGATATCAATCAACACAAAAGCGAGTGTTTGTGTGGAAAGATACTTTTAAAAAGCGAATGACCTGACGATAAACGATAGGGAAGAGATGGTAAAGGAGAAATATGACCGTGGGATCACCGGTTCTTTATACAATCATGAGTGGAAACATGATGCATAGACATATATCGAGTGATTGAGAGTCTAAGCCTATAGACACCTGATTTGGAAAATCAAAATCGGATAAGCACCAAGTAACTGCGCACAGGTAGGCTCCGGTGTGATTATCACTACATAGCGACTTGTAACCACTCAGATTTGCTATG